CTCTGCTGAGTTTATACTCGAGCGGCCACTCGCGTCGTCACCGTGCATGAACTGCCGCAGCTCATCGTCCTGTTCGGGGTCGACAATGCTCTTGCCACCTTTCCGCTTGTCCTTGGCCAGCATAGCACCGAGACTTGACGTCTGCGACATCAGATCTGTGTTCTCTCCCAGTATCTTGCGAGCTGCTCGTGAAGCAGGGGGCGTGGCGGCGACTTGGCGGTCTCGTCGTACAGACTTGGGAGCATCGGGCTCCCAGTTCTCCTTGTCACTCTCGGTCTGCGGGAACTCGTCCGACTCGGTGCTTTCGCCACCCTTCTTGTAGTCGGCGTATTCCTTATTGGAGAAGCGACCACTGATGGTGGATGCGCGTTGCATGGAACCGCGGGCCTTCTTGAGTGGACTGCTTTGTACTTTGTGTGAGCTGTGGCGCGCCATCAGCGGGCTGCTGTTTTGGCGGGCCTGGTTCTGTGCTAATATCCTTCGGTTCGCGCGTAGTATGCCAATCGCGTCAGCTGCACTGCCGCTCTCCTCTTGCTCGGCACGCGTTGTCAGGCTGGTTGTTGACCGGCTCTCGGGATCGCACCAGAACTCCCATGCGCGCGAATCCCTGCTCCTTCCGATATTCGATGTTGTCCTTGGTACCTTGGGGCTCGGCTCGCCTCGGGCGGCGGCGGCTAGGCGGTCGTTCAAGCCAGCTGCACTGTAGCTTCGTCGCAGGCCAGCAGCGGCACGGGAGAAGGAGGAGGGTGTCTTTTTCGACTTGGGCGGTGATGGGGTCTTGTCGAGGTCGGTGACGATACGCGCAGTGCCGTCCTCGTTGGTCGCTATCCGTACGAAAGAGTGCTTGCGCTTCAGTGGACGGGAAGGGGTCTTGGTTGCATGGTCGGGTGATACAGAAGGCTTCGGAGGGGCGTTCGGAAAGGTGATGACTTCAGGCGTGTAATCGTCGAGATAGCGGACAAACGACGCGCTGCGACGGTTGGAGATCCATGATGTGCGGTTTTGCGCGGCGCCCTGTGACGATTGTGCAGCCTGCTGCGAGTTGCTGATCTCAGTGGAGGCATTTTCGGTATTTTGAGTTTCAGTAGATGGCTCTGCGACGACTTCATTCGCGTTTTCTGGTTCGTTGGCGGAAAAGGCAGTGTCGATGGTGCGTGGCTCTGGGATCGTTTCGTCGGAAGTGAGTTCTGGCGTTGCGGGCTGCTCGGGTGGGTCAGACCTCGGGCACTCGTCCTGGTCCGCCTCTTTCGGCCCCGGCGCGTTATCGATATTGCGCGCTATGGCTACCGTCTCGTCCTCGGTGGGCGGGTCCGACATGGTGGAAGAAGAAGACATCAGCGATGCCGTGGAAGATGGTTCGAGTGGCCGTGAGCGACGGCGGTCGTTTTGGCGTTTATCTAAAGCAGAGCGTGATCAGGACGTGTTTCGAAAATCATGCGCACAACCAAGCCACACGCGACACTTCGGAGCGATTCAATACAGTCGATTGAAAAGCAAGCACCAGCGACGCGCACAACAGATGAATTGACTTACTTTGAAACCAAATCTAGGACGCGATGTTAGCAAGGCGCGCACACTCGTGACGTGGAGAAATTGGCGCTTACCTGAACTTCCTTCTCGCCAAGCGCGACTTTGCGGACAATTTCTAGTCGTGCGGCCTTGTCTGGCTTCGGGTTCTTGAGATATTCCGACTTCAACACGTCTTCGTCTTCCTTGCTGCAAGATGTCGTGGTCAGCGCTGATGGGGTGATGGAGAGTCGTGCCCGCGGGGTAGGCCGAAGTAGCTCCCGATGGTAGGTTGCGCACGAACCAACGCGTTGAACATGGGTCGACACGGTCGAGATGGAAAGGCAGAACTTTGATGGAATGAGAGCATACCTGGTGCGTCTTCTCTTCTGGCGAGCAAGAGCTTTGTTGTCGACATCTGGTGGCATGTGGTTTGCGACAGTTTCCTGCGAATGCACGAGGAAGGCCAATTGACCACTAAAACTGGCGCGTCTGACGGTGGGAAGACGCGATGACGCAGGCGAGGAAAACGACGGCAAGGGCGATGAGGCGGACATGATGGGATGACAACAACGAATGTTGGTAATTGAACTTGGTGTGATTAGAGAAGAGCTACCATGAAAGAGTGTTATAGTAGAAAGAATAACGCGTTCAATATGGTGGCAGGAAAGTAGTGTGCGAGGCGCGTCTTCAGTCGCGTACGTATCAGATTGGTCCGAGCCGAGCGCTTGCCTATGTCGTGCATACCACTTGACTGAACTTGCCGCCCGTGCACACGACCACTCCAGCCTCATATCTTGTATTATCCATGCAGCAGATTGTCACGCATGCACGGGCATGATGAGGCCGAGAGATTATCACATACCGTCACGTCCAATCTAAGCATCGCTGACGAAAACGCGTGCATCTCATCACTTCGATAGCCTTTCGTGGTTCATCTCGGCGTCTTGCAAGGAACTACGCGAACGCGGGACGACAATTATCTGTTTTGCTTTTCCAAGGTTCTCAGCCCTATCTCGGAACACGTCCAGAAACGCGCGTGAGCAGAGCTCATTGCACAGCAGATTCGTGCAACAATGTTGGCCCGAGGTGTATTACCGCCCTTTTCTCGACATCATCTGCTTCCACGCGAAGTGAAGACGCGTAGGAGTCGCGATGAAAACCATGCTTCTGTTTCCAGGCGCGTAGCACTGACAAAGCTAGCACTCAAAGACGGAGCTAGTACTCAAAAAGTATGGCGGTGAAACACGTCCGCACGTGACGCGCTAACCCTTCCAATCACCCCGCCACATCCGCGAAACACGAGTCAAACAATGCACGGTTCTGCTCATCACAACGTTCTGACACAAACTCTTTACCATCGGTATCCTCCGATGACCTACCCTGCCTGTACGCATCATTGCGACTGCAATCTAGGCAGCGACACGCTACTCAACGACTATCCAGTCCGGCCTGCAGTCTAATGCTCTTGGCGGTAACTCTCACCGTCAGATGGGCTGCACGCTGCTCAACCACCATTCCATCTCTATTCCCGCAGATGCGCATACTCAATTGTCCTCCTTAGCATCTGACCTTTTGCATGTACTTTGGTCTAGTCGCGGTCTCATTGTTCAACCCCTTCCTACCCCACATCCACCGGTGAAGACGACCATACAAGGCAGAAGGTTTTGGAGCAAGAGTCGGAGATTTCCGTGGCCTGATTATACAAATCTCTCGCATCAGGACTGATCGGTGTCTTTCTGCCTTGTACAGTACACTCTGACGATGTCTGTGTTCCAGGAGCCAAGGAGAGTTGCACTGCTCGGACCGAAGCCGACAGAAGATATTCGTAAGACAGCTTACTATCCCGCAACCACGTGCTGCCTGCGGCACTCCTGGAGTTTCAACATTCGCGTATTGGCCATCGAGATCTAGCCGAGTGCCTGTGGCTTTTTGGCGTTCGTGCAATCCTTGAGCCTCACCGGTTTTGGCCCCATTTTCCTATCTCGTCATCACCAGTTACCTCCTAACCTGCCATTACGATAGATGATTGGCGGACGGCTCCCTTGCCCAAATCACAGCTACCAACGGTGTGCTATTCTGACAGCCCTACGAAACAAGAAGACCCGACCGCTAGGTTCCTGTTCGCGTAGGCGAGCTACTGCATCGAGCCTCGGATGGGGGTTTCACACCCGAGAATCTACACTTCGGTCAGAGATACGGTCGCATCGTGGTGTAGGGCTAGCCCTACGGGTCCACTTTCGTACGCAGACTCCGCTTCCGCCGCGAGGATTCTGGAGTCTGAGATCCTTTCGCACGATACAACAGCCACTCTACTACTGGAATGCGGACCGTAATGAACGTTCAGCTAGCACTTCAATTGGTTGGAGCTCACTGCCTAGTGCTATTGTCGCAGGACATGACTATGCACGGTCTCGATGCCCGTTTGGCTTTGATTCGCCGAGGCTAGATGTTTCTTCCGTTGATTTCATCTCTAGTCCTCTGATCGGATGCAGGGCTTAGGCCTCTATTCCTCTCTTCCCGGCCTCTGTCCGCCGTCCGCAACAAGTGTGCTATCTCTTCCACTGTATCACATGTTGGGCCAAGAGTCACGGGCGCTGTCCTGGACAACACTCCAGCGAATCGGCCCCTTATTGTTGACTAGCGAACAGTTGACCCAGCGGGAAAGGCGTCGAAAGCAGGCAACTGTACCCAAGAGGCGAAGGGGTCCGCCGTTAGCCATTCATCATATCTTGTCACGCCAACCTCCGAACACCCATGCACGTTGCAGAAGACGGTGGCAGTCGTTCTCCCTCCGTGTTAGCACTAGACCGGGCTTCAGGTATTCCTTGACATAACAGGCTTTGTTTGTGTTTCTTTACGCTACAAGTCGATCTCATTGGCAGCGTCACTTCCACATAGATCTGTATTGTAAGCGATGTTCCCATATGTGCAGCTTTCCCCTGTTGCTGCAATATTTCAGGCCGACCACGATAACTTGTGCGTTACATTCACCCTTTTCACCGATACAATGGCACCCTTGTGAGTCACGGGCCTTCACAGCGATGTGATGGTGTTGACGGAGGCAGTCTTAAAGCCCAACTCACGTCCGGCTTCGTGCTACACAAGATACAGGAACGAACTTATAAGCTCATACGCCCCAGCATCCCCTTTCAATTTAACAAGCTCAAGCAAAGCAATGTCTGGCAACATGCGCGTCGCAATAGCAGGTAAGGTAGCCATCAAGGGCCAAGCAAACTACGCTCGGGCAACCTTCTTACACTGTTAGGCACTTCTGGTCTAGCGCTTCTGATAGCACAAGAGATCAACAACTCGACGAGCCACCAGCTGATCATTCTTTCGCGAACCGTAAGTACCCTTAGAAGAACCCAGTCCATCTCCCGGGTACCAAGTGATGAACTAACGATCACCAGCATCAAACGAGTCTGATCGCTTCTGGTTACAACTGTCAAGTCGTTGATTACAACAGCCCCACGTCCTTGCAACATGCATTGATGGGTGTCGATACTGTCATCTCGACCGTACTGGGCAATCCCCAACTCCGCCTAATAGAAGCGGCTGTACAGTGCCGGGTTCGTCGCTTTGCACCTGCGGAATTCGAAGGTCAGCCAGTTCAGCGAGGCCAGAACGCGCTCCTCGATCGCGGCCGAAACTCTGCGATGGCCTTACTGCACCACTACCGCACCAACATACAGTATACGGTCTTTGTCTGTGGCATACTGTATGAGCGCTTCTCGGTGAACGGGATGATGTCTCATCGCCTTGGGACTCATAGCGGCTATGGCAACGAGGGAGACTTCATCGCCGACCCACGGCAAATGACTTCGATGGCACCGATCTACGACGCAAATCAAAACCTCTCCTGTATCTGCCTGACATCCGCATACGACGTGGCACAGTTCGTGGTTCGTGCCCTCGACATGCCAACTTGGCCTTCCGAGATGAGCATGTGTGGTGAGCGTATGACTGTCCATGCCTTGGTCGAGGCTATCAGGGCGTGCCGAAGTAAGTATCATCATCGTTTGTCTGATGAATGAACCTTGCTAACATGTCCTTAGACCGACCATGGGCTAGCATCGACTACCAAGCCCCTGCCAGTACGCAGGTGTTCTTTACAACATTCATGCAGTTGCTGACCGACTGCGCAGATCTCGAGTACCAAATGACGATGGCTCAACTAGGAGGAGACACAGCCGGACAGAGGCGGCTCGCACCGCTCCTCGCGACAGCAGAGGGGCGCTATGATTTTGCGGTACCCGCCTACCTCAACTCAGTCTACCCAGACGTGCAGGTCACTCGTTTCCAAGACTGGTTCCTGCGCAACTGGGCCTCGATACCGTGAACCAATACCATTGTGGAGTATCATCCGGTACTATGACGATACTTCCGGGGCCGAAGAATATCCGCACGGGACTGGTCATATTTGGATCGTACACAAGGGTTCGGTTCCTAGGATTTTGACAACCTTTCATGGGGCTCCATGCTCCGTCTTCTCCACTTACGTACTGATTCCATTTGGTTCTCAGACTGCTTATATGTACTAATATTGAGTTGGCGATTGAACTAAGGTCTGTGGGTCGCAATCAAGTTTCGGAGGCGTTGACGATGGGATTCTGTTTGCAGCTTACAATGCAATTATGTTCGTAATTTTATCAAGTCTACAATCCCCAAGCCGTTGCAATTTTACAAGGGTTTGGCATTTGTGAAGTTCTGATCAAGGTTGTGTCGCTTACGCCTGAGACACTACCTGGAACGCCTCCACTGCCAACACCGCACGCGACACGCAGCGGCTCGCTCGTTCCGAAGCACAAGCAACGCTAACTATTTCTGCAGAAGCATACCCGATCTGCGATGATGTGAGGAAGGGTCTTGTCAGAGTTTGATGGTAATCTTCGATGGGGAATTACATCAGGTCGACGTCACCGGTGGGGCAACCGCTCCCCACTGCCATAATAAAACCACGACGCGCCTGAACTCTCTTTTCTGTTCAGTATCACAACCACAACTTCAATTGCATCTTCACGACCAAATTCACATTCTCGAAAACTTTATCTTTCTTCCTATACCCGCAACGTAAGTTTCATTCCAAGAGGTGGTGTGGTGGACGGGTTAAGTTTGCCGTTCCTGGCGCGACGCCCCCAAACCATCCACAAGCACGCGTCTGTCCATGTTGCTAACATATCTTCAGCACAAACACATTCAAAATGGTTTCTTCTCAGCAAGGCTACGCTCCCACCACCGTCGACATGAAGGGTAACACCCAAGCTGTCAACGAGGCTCAGTCCAACCTCCCTCTCCCCGAGCAGCCCCCTGTCGCCTCCGACTTCAACTCTGCCGATGCCAGCACCGTCAACGTTGGCTCCGGTCGCCAAGAAGCCTCTTTCGCCTCCGGCGGTGGTGCCATCCGCGAACCCGCTGTCGGTGCTGGCGGTGTTTCCGGACGTGAGGCCAAGGATGGCCTTGGTGGCATCCCCAACGACGCTGTCTCGCGCGAGGCTAAGGACAAGGCTGGTCTTGCCGACACCACCAACAAGGACTACGGATACCCACAGAAGAACGACCCCAGCTCGGGCGCCAAGCAGTAGAGTACTGCAGGAGGAAGAATAATGAGATACCCGAAGCATCATGGGATTGTATGATTATGGCTACTATCACTGCGCTTAGTAGCAGACTGCAAGAGCAGGCTTACGATGATCAATGAATGAAATGAACGAACAAACAAATATGTCATCTCCTGTCGAATTGTGATGTCTTGATGAAGATGATGATGTATGAATGAATCCCATCGCCCCATGCTAGACTTGGTGCCAACGCCTCACGCGTTTCGGATTAGACTGCGCATGCGACAGCCGCACCAACAGCACCTGCCCGGATGGCCCGTTCCTGACGCCATGTCAGCCGCAGTATGCACGTATGCCCGACTCTAGCATATGTATGGGTGGGCCCATTGCCGCTTTCCGAGCTACCACTGCTACTGCCGTTCGACTAAAGGCGGGGTTGTTTTGAGCACCTAGGTAAGGCTGAAGTAAGGTGGGATGTCTCAATGTGACGACGTCATGACGCAAGTATATCGGGGCTTGAAGTCTGACGGTATACATAGGTCAAGTTTGCACTTGACTTCAGGTACTCATACCACTTGAACTACCACAACTTCCAGAATCCAATCAATTGATTTACTCCAAATCTCAACAATTACAACACAAAAGAACCATACCAAATAACAACATGTCGGCTTCACACGGACAGAAGGTATGTTTTCCGTCTGGATCTCTCATACTTCATTGTTTGTCGCTGAATCATGACCTCATTCAACAAGACGGAGTCGCAGAAACACTCACTAACTTGCTACTCACAGGTAACCACCGACCCCGCGTCTAAGATCCCCGTCCACGAGGGTGTCGGCACCGTCACATCAGACTCTCTAGCAGGCGAGTCTCTGAAGGGCGACGGTTCATTCGGCGAGGGCAACCCCAAGGCCGCAGCAAGCAAGCAGCCATCAGCATCAACCACCACAAACACCCACGACACATCAAACGCCACCAAGCTCGATGCCGCCGTCAATGCCGAGGCACGCGACGCGCAACAAGGATGGAACGAGGAGAAGATCATGAACTCAGGCAAAGGTCTGGGTAAGGAGGCCGGTGTCGGTCCTACATACGCAGTTGCTGGTGGAGGTGCTTCATCAGGAGGCGCTGCCAGCGCTGGCACAGCACCTACAGGTGTTGCTGCTGGAAAGAACATTGACCCCAGTGTTCTCCAGCCCAAGGGTGCCAACTTGACAGAAGACCCTAACATGAGCGGTAACACCAAGTTTGGCGAGATCGGTACAAAGGATGACCCTTCTAGGCAAGCGGAGCTTAAGTTGGCGAAGGCGGCTGCGGCGAGTGCTGCGGTTGAGAACAGGGACCTGGCTCAAGGCGGCGACTCCAAGTTCAGCAACCTGAGTGACACCAACGCTTAGAGTGTCGATGATGCATGGCGACATACATCCACCATAGAGTAATGAGCCTAACGAAAGAAGAATAATGACTTGCAAGCTGTTATCGATGTTCTGGTGTTGAAAGCGACAAACTCGAGGGGTGAAAGCAGCACGTGGCGGGGCCCTCCCAATCGGGCCTCTTCCGCGGGCACGGACGCGGGCCGTTGCAGCAGTTCAAGGTGGCCTTTCGCGACGCGGCATGAACCCCAGCCATCAATGTCGTTCATTATCCCACCCACGCTTCTTTCCTTTACTTAACCGTTCACCGAATCGAAATTGGGTCCGCAGCACCCCGATTGTTCGTTTGACTGTCCACCATGAACGGCTACGGGGATAACGGGCACGACGAGGATCCATTTGGTCCAGCCAAGGGCGGCATTGTGTCCAGTTTCGATGCTTTTCGTAAGTGTTGTCTTTGTACGGGTGTCGGGATGGAGGAAAAATTAGCAGGCAGTTTTAGGTCTCGATTGATCATTATAGGTCGTGATGCGACTTCCCAGCCACATGCGACACCGCGCTTAATCCAAGATGAACCCCAATGCTAACGGACGTCTACAGCTAAAACCAAGAAGACGTACCTCGTACAAGGCCGCAACTCCTCGGCCTGGACCGTGACGCTCATCATAACATGCATCTACCTCGCCTGGTCCGAGATCGCGCGCTGGTTCGCCGGCACGACCACACAATCATTCGCCGTCGAGAAAGGCGTAGCCCACGGCATGCGGATAAACCTCGACATGATAGTAGCCATGCGCTGCGCCGACCTTCACGTCAACATGCAAGATGCTGCCGGTGACCGCACCCTGGCTGGCGAGCTTCTGCGCAAAGACCCAACATCATGGGCGCAATGGACCGGCAAGAACGCCGAGAGCGGGACACACGAACTAGGCAAAGATAAGAAAGTTGGATGGGATGATATCGAGGACGTACATGAGCAGCTGGGCAAGGCGCGGAAGAGCAAGTTCAGCAAGACACCGCGCGTGCGCGGACAGACTGACAGCTGCCGTATCTACGGCAGTATCATTGGAAACAAGGTACAAGGCGACTTCCACATCACGGCTAGGGGCCACGGATACATGGAGTTTGGAGAGCATCTTGACCATTCCAGTAAGTCCAAAGGATCAAGAACCCCGAAGATAACACCTGCTAACATCCACCAGCATTCAACTTCTCGCACATCATCCGCGAAATGTCCTTCGGCCCATACTACCCTTCGCTCGTCAACCCCCTCGACAACACCATCGCCGTAACACCAACACCCCAAGACAAATTCTACAAATTCCAATACTACGTCTCCATCGTCCCAACTATCTACACCGACGACGCTTCCATGATCCCCTACCTTACATCCAGCACATCCGAAGAAGACACGCCCTTCTCAAACATGTTCCACACCACCCACGCCATCAAAACTAACCAATACGCCGTTACATCGCAGTCCCACAAGGTCGCCGAAACTTACGTACCGGGTATCTTCGTCAAGTTCGATATCGAGCCTATTCTGCTGGCGGTGGTGGAGGAGTGGGGTGGCTTCTGGAGGCTGATTGTTAGGCTGGTGAATGTTGTGAGTGGTGTTATGGTTGCGGGGAGTTGGGCGTGGCAGATGTTTGATTGGGCGAGTGAGGTTATGGGCAAGAGACGGAGGAGGGGTGATGGTGTGGGTGTGTTGGGGACACCGTCGGTAGAGAAGAAGAGCTGGGATTAGACGATGGTTTGGGGGGTGGATAGAGGAGGATGCATTCAATGGCGTTTAGGATATGGGGATATGGGTATATGTTGGGCTACTTTTTGTGAGTAAAGTGACCTCCTTTGAACGAATTCATAAGCGCTGCGTACCTTGAAGTATCTGTATTGGCAAAATGACCTGTGGCGAATATTGTATCTTGAGATTGTGGGACTGCGCGATTGCGCTATGGTAGGTGTTGCTTTTCGTGCCTTACAATCCGCCCCCCTTGCGTAGCTGACACTTCTGCATAGAACCCTGGAAGCAGCGCGTACTTCAATCCGTACGATCAGCTCCATCAAATGAGAAGTATCGCCAGTTCAGGAATTAGCGCGCACTTTGACAAACGCTCCAGCCGACCTCTCTCCCACCTTCTCCCTCTTTCATTCGTTGCTTGGCGGTTTGTGCTACAAGGCGCTAGGCTGTATCTCACTTGCTCTTGCACCACCTTCGTCGGTCTTTGATTGTTTACCTCCCCACAAAATACTGACAAACGACCACATCGCTATCTACTCTCTACCTTCTTTGGCAGAGAGTTCTACCACCCATTACTGACGAGCGAACGAACGCACTAAAAACTATCTTTATCGCATTTCAACTCGACTTGACTACACCGCGACTATGGCGTCGCCAACTCGACCGCAAGATCGAGGTGATTCGCGAGATGAAACCGAGGAGGAGCGAAATGATCGGATAAGGGAGGACCTTCGGGCTAGAATGGTAAGTTATGGCTATACGAATGCATGTGAGACATATACTGACTTCGTACCCCTACCTCTGCAGCCTGCTATGGCTGGCCTTGACCGTCGTGGGGAATTGTCGGTCTCGCAAGAAGATGCCCGCGAAATACAGCAACGTTCACAACAAGATACCAGGCTTCGGAACAGCTCGCGCCTGATTCGTGCAAGGGACGCTTACGAGGCTCGCCGCGCTCTCGGTAGTCAGATTGCGCGCGTCGCTCCCAGTAATCCGACCGTCACTGAAGCAGAGGGTCAAGGAGCCGCCACTACACCGCGCCCAGATTCACCTCTACCTGCGCCACGGTACAGGCGGCTAGGTCCAACAGAGAACGCCAATGAGCTACACGTTCCTCAGAATCGACCTGCCACAGAGCGAACTAGATGGTCAGACCCAACCTTGGAGTCGCGTCTAGCGTCAGTCGGTCGTGTTCAGGACATATTGAACCCTGAGCCTGTTCAGACTCGCCGGGCCAAAAGCCATATGCCCACTCTGCGGTCTCAACCAGAGTTCTACATGACCGGAGTCATAGCCGTCGACACTACCGCAGAGCCTCTTCCCGAGAACGCGGAATGTACGATTTGCCTTGAACCTCTCTCAGACGACGTGGTCAAGTTCCACGCTTGCGGCCACATGTTTCATACCGTCTGTGTACAGAGCTGGTTCGATCAGAGCGCGCCGCGTACGGGTGTGAAGCGAGGTACTTGCCCGAACTGTCGACATGAGCTGTACGAGCCAGATCCGCGATTTGGACGTGCGCGGCAACCTGTTGCTGTAGAGCGGACGCCTCAACAGTTGAATGCGTCGCTACGTGGTTTAGAGCGTGAACTGGTGCCTCCGGAGACTCCACAGACGAATACTCCCCGAGTTACTGGTGGTCCCGATCGTGAGTCCCGTCTCGCGCAGTCTATGGCTGATTTCGAAGAACGTGTGAGGGCGCATGATCAGCTTTACGCCCAGCAGCAATTGAATCAGCAGCGACAATTCGCACTCAACAATTCGCGATATCAGACACTTGGTCGTTCAGCGGCCAGTATAGCAATGACTGATGCATTGCGCCGGCCTACTACATCCGCTAGAGAAGCAGAAGCAGGAGATAGACTGTCAAATGTAGACGGGCCGGACGAACATTCTGATGCTGATGATATTCATGGGGTAGATGGAAGGCCGACATTCATCCCGGAACGACCTCCGACATCGACATTTCAAGCTAACGGACTCTCGAATCAACCACGCGAGTCTCGAGCCGATCTAGCAGCACGTGCTATTGCGGAGCGTCGCCCCCTGTCAGAAGTACCAGGCCTCAACACCGGTTTTGCAGCTATCCCACCTCTTTCGCCACAAGAGGCTGCACGACTTGTCAGAATCCGCGAGTTACCAGGGTCAGGGCTTGATCTAGCTACGCGCACTACTGATCAACTCCGAGACGAGCAGGTCATGTTGTTGGATCGTCTCCGTGCGGTACAAACACAGATAGGCCGAAACCTAGAAGCATCTGGAGAGCGTGCAATGAACGCCGCTGAGCGAAGGGAACAGATACGAGCGATGGCCTGGAATAACCCACAAACTGCACATCTATACGGTGGGCCGGCGCCTGGGCCGCAGGATAACACTGCGCATCGGCCGCCGCCAATCGCGATTCCTCGACTTGCCGACCCATCGGTTACTGACCTACGGTCATCTCGCGAGCCTCCTGATCCAAGAGCTATAGGCACAGGAAATACTATATGGTCGACGGACTATCCACCACCGTCAGATATGCGGTATATACTCAACCGCAATCCGGCTTCGAATGGATCGTTAGGGTCACCACATTATGTATATCCTTCCCCTCCAGGTTTCCACCGCGACGTCTCAAGAGTCCATAGCCCACTCTTTCCTTTCTCTCCAGACGGTCCCCGCACCGCCACAAACAGCAACATGCTACACGGACGAAACTTCAACGATGAACGATTTACGTTTCCTGAGTTGCCCGCTTTGACTACACAATCTGATACCGTAGCCGCTACTCAACCTGCTTCTGAAGGCAACCAGAATGTAGCCGCGGAAGACTCAAGGTCAGTACAGCATCCACGTCGCGTATCTAGCACTGTCGTGAGGCACATGCATGATGACTCACTACCCTTCAGGGCCGCATCAACAGATCCTACTGCCTACAGGCAACATCCCCCGGGGCGTCCTAGGCCATCTTCTATTCTTCAGCGAGAACAAGAGGCCGCTGCATCAGATACACATCGCTTTCGTTCTCGTGAAGCACGATCTGAATCGCCCCAAGAAGATGACGATATGACCGAAGTCCCTGAGGCATCAAGCTAGACTTGTTACGTTGGGATATCAGGCATGATAGAAAGAGGAGAATGATGAGCGCGGTTTGGGCGATTTGGGTACGATGGAAGCTTGAGCGCGTTCGAAGAGACAATGCATAAGACCTCTTGAGCTTTGAAGTGGGGTGAAAAGAGAATGTTGATGATGCAGCTAGTGTTAATGATGGGTCGTTGGCTAGCAATGTTGGGCTTACCTCAACGGGGCCATCAACGGTTTGATGTAGACGTCGAACAAGTACAATAGAAATCATTGATCAAATGTCTTGTTTGTCAGCCCCGGTTCCTGATTAACGTCGCAAGCGAAGGCCTGAGGACGCGAAAGCCCAAATCATCGTGACAGATATTTCACCCAAGACCACAGAAGAAGCAGTGAAAGTAGTAGGTCATTGGTCCTGCCCATAGGATCTTACATTGTGAATCTCCACCTAGCCACAGTGTTTTACAGGCACAGTCCAATGCTGTTCACAGTCTAATAAAGAAGAGCCTATATTGTGTGATCCCCGCCGGGTTTCAACAGACAATCTCCTCAACCCACACTCGACTCTCTAGTCCCACCCGATAGTTCCAACCAGCCCAGCCGTGAACATGGACTCCTACGTCGGGTGTAGAACTCCTGAGCCTAGTAATACATCATCGTCTTCTAATGAGCGTGCTGTCCCACAAACCAACACCACACCGCCGTCCAACATGCCCGCTCTGCGCAGCCAAGGAGAGTTCTTCATGACTGGCATCGTTCCAGCAAGTTCTCAACCCGAAGACTCACACTGCTCAATTTGTGCCGAACATCTCGCCGAGGATGTGGTACAGATAGCTAGCCCATGCGGCCACATGTTCCATGCTGTCTGCCTGCTCACCTGGCTCCAAGGCGACGGACGACGAAACCGCACTTGTCCTAACTGCCGCTGTGAGCTATATGCTGCGCCAGTGCCCCAACCGTCAACGAATCTTGCTCCTCCAAGCCGCACCCGAGAAGCTATCATGGAGCAGAGGATACAGGTACAATATGAGACCTTGCGACGTGCGCGAGAAGATCAGATAAACAACCTAAGGGTTTTGGAAAATAACCTAAGATCGACTCAGGTCGCTTTGGGACGAGAGCCTACAGCCACCCGCACACCGATTCCTGCGCAACCGGTAAACTTTAATCATCGCCCCAGCCAGCTCTCAGACACACCAGGGGGCAGTGGGCGATCGCGAAGGGCAACCCATGCTGAGAACTTGGGGCGTCGGACAGATTATACGAACATCGCCCATTGGCGGAGACAGACTGCTCAGGAACGAGAGGATGAAGAGGCCCTCGCAGCACTTGTTATGCGACCGCCCGGTTCAAATCGTGTCGATATCCGGTCTGTGGGCACACCAGATACTACCCGAAGAAGTCGGTTTGAGGATGTCTTGGAGGCAGAAGATAGGAACGTTACTCGAAGGCCGAGACTGGTCGTGGAAAGAGACGCCGAGGGAGTCGAAACGGTGGTTGGTACGTGGCCGCCTCATCGCTCCCTCCATGGTGAGCCTGTAGCCAGCTCCGCCAATCAGACAACGGCATCGGCAAGAGCAGAAGAAAGAGCTAGACTGCAATCTAGGCATGACTTAGCGGTGGCTGAAATGAGACAACTGGAAGCAGCGCGTCTTCAAGATGGGCTCCTACACGACAGTGACGAAGCAGCGGCACTCGAGCGAAACTTGGCAAATCTGAATAGAATCAGGCGCGACAGCATACAGCAACTTCAACAGTTTGATAGACGAGCCGCAGAGGAAGACCGTTCGTCAAATGATTCGGTACCCAGTATCAGGGAGCGCAGACGCCAACGCATGTTAGCTAGACGGGCTGCTGGAGAAGATAGCTCGTCAGATGATTCGAGTCCTAGTATCAGGACACGCCAACGCCGACGCATGGCAGCTAGAGAAGACAGCTCGTCA